GTATATTCATTCTTGTAGTTCGTGATTTGTTAGTGTTTGATATAACTGCACAAGTCTTTTAGTTACTTTTTTTTTGTTTTTGTTTTTTTTTTTTATTAGAGCGAACCGCTACACCGCAGACAATTGCGGCCACGATGTATCGACTGTCGGTGGAGAATAATGGAACAGCATAGAAGTGCCCTTTGGAAAATCAAAAGAAATCAAAGGCTCGAGTCGATCCCTTTCGTATACAGGTACATTTCTGTACAATATCTGCACAATATCGAGGTTGGTCCTCGTCTAACTGTTCTCTCGAAAATAATTCTCAAACGAGTTGATCCTCTAATGATTTTACAGGGCAGAGCTAACAGTAAACGTTCTTACCTTGCGAAGTTCCAGCCAAGTCCGGTGGTTGCAACCCGTGGCCAATTCCTGGAAATTTCACTATCGTCACACGTAGCAACGAACGTTCTTTCGCGACAAGCAACGGAACGATGGCCTGTACGCAACATCGCAATTAGAAATCTTCTACATTTCGAACTCGGTGAGAAGAATCCCTGTCCTACAACTTACCAAGGTGGGAAGAAGGAAACGAGAAAGAAAGAATACGCGATCGATGAAAAATTGGTCAATGCGTACAGGCCTGATGGGATGTCGACTCGTCCACGTACCTGACAACGGTGTATGTTCGCTGGCTAGAGCCGCCATACTGAAATTAAAGCTCCCAGGCGTAGGCGGGAAGATTTTCGTCTCGGACAAAAAATTCGGCGTGGACGTGTGCTCTGGTTCTACCTCGTGCTCGTTACTGCTCGCGGACGCCGGTGGTCGATCGGACGCCGCGGCGCCAGAATCGGACGAGTCCTCATTGTTGCCGCCGTTACCGCTGTGGCCACCTGTCAGCTCCAATGGCTCGCACTTGATGTTGTCTTCCAGCGGGCTGTTCTCCTCGTGCACGCCGTTTCCCTCGACCTTGCTCGACAGATGGTTGTTCTTCACCATCGAGAAATCCGTGGGCGTCGCGTCGTTGTTGTTGAGCGGCGGCGACGGCACCCTCGGCTTCTTCGCGGACTCATCGTGCGGGTCGGGCGTTCGTCTCTCGTTCCTGCGTATCTGCGCTCTGCGTAACAATTGTTGCACGGTCGTCGGCGTCGGCGTCGGTGTCACTGGCGCGGGCGGGGAGCC